GTTTTTAGTTAATCTGACTGAGTGTTCGAAATTCATAAGGAAGATGTTTTTTTGAAGAGAAACTACGAGGGCCATCTTTCATGTATAATGAAGCCAGAAGATGTGGAATCACAATGTTATCCCTCATTCATCAAGAAACGAGGAAATCACAATCTTCTCAACAAGCAAATGCAAGCTAATGTCACACATTTTGTTCAAAAGTCAAAAATCAAGAAAAAGAAAAGCCTGCTAAGTCAAAAAAAAACATGAAAACGTGTGACTTAGGCAAAATTAAGGCATCCCGCTGGACTGTCAATTCAAAAAAATTAGTTCAGGAAAAAATTAGGGAAAATAAAAATTGCAAAGAAAGGACTACAAAGAAAATTCCTCAGCAAAGAACAAATTGGTGACTACAAACACGAAGACATGAGGGAGGTTTCTACTCCGAAAGCCTCGTCGTTTCCTTGACCGTCACAAAATCCTTTTGAAAGATGAACGCTCATGTTGAATTAACTGAACATAGGATTGGAGAACATCATGAAGTGGGTTGGCACCAAATATTTTGAGCCTTAAAATCTTTTTTCTAAAAACCATGAACCAGACCACGTTACAACCTTCAAAAGTCCTAATTGAAGCAAGGTTATTTTGAAAGCATACTTCAATGAGATAGTGTTCCTGACTCCCATGAATGTTCTAAATAGTTATGTTGGTATCATATGTTTTTCCTATACAAAAATAAATGGTGCTTTAACTCGCAAAATTTGTGCGATATCTTTCAAAATCTTCAAGACTTACATAACTGTTGCATTAGAATTTTCATTCTCATTGTAAACTTTTTCTAACTGCAAAACATTTGTTTGATGTCAAGGAAGCTCACATAAGCACCAGTGATGAGTTTATTCTTTTAAGGCTTGAAACTATGTTGAGTAATTGGCGAATCATTTCAAGAAAAAATCATATCCAGGGGCATGTCACCTGAAGACCGTAAGCACGAACATGTTGCTTCTCCCAGTTAATGCTTTCCCAACTTGTTTACCCTTTATTGGGGCAAAAGTTGAAGACTTTGTTGTGCCAACTACAGTCAATTCGGGGCAATCACGTCGAGATTTGATGAATTCCTCTAAGAGTTTGAAGACACCAGAGCATGGTGAATGCCAGGTCTTTTGTAAAATCCTCTTGAGACGATTTCTCCTCATCAACCATATAGCTTGGGGCATTTTAGAAGTGAAGTTATTCGCAAGAATTGTCGTGCAACATGCAGCTTATCAGCAGTAAACTTGGGACATCCAAAATTAATCCCAGGGGCAATCCAGATTTGTCAAGATATGTTATCAGAGGGTGGTGTTCCCAGTATCTCCAGCTAAGCAAGACTTCTTTCCAGCTGAAACTTTGTTTGTGTTGTTATCCTTTCAATGGATTGTTTGCAATAGAAGACTAGACTTTGGGTTTTCTACCTGAAAATATCTTCCTCTCCAGAGATATTTAAGCCTTGTAAAAGGACCTTGCTCCAATGATGGCCTGTGTTCTATCTCCAGTAATGTTCCCATCTTGTTGAGATTAGCTGAGTGTTGGGTTTGTGCTGTGATGTCTTATCATCTTCTGTCTATCTCCCTTGTCTGTTTTGTCAACATATACATGACATTCATTCATTCGTTCATACTTGCATCATGCACGCACCTTTGTATTTATTGATATCTTTGAGTTTGTATACCTTGGTTATGTCTATTCAAATGGCGTATTTGATCTTTCCAAATAGAGTGTCAACTTAAGCAGAAAGTGCGCCTCTTTTCTAATTCCCCACTGAGTTAACGCTCGTGGAAGAATCTTGCTTTAGCTTTCCTTTTCCATCTCTGGATAGGATAAATCCCCATTTGAGTTGTTTCCTCATTGGGTGGAGTCTTGTTTGACTATTTTCTCTCCAGTTTATTCCTGGATTGAGCTTTGTCTCTTGTGAACGATACCCTGTGGATCTCTCTAGGCTGTGAAACCTAGATGGAGGGTGCATTTATTTTGCAACGTAAATACTTGGTCTCCTCAAGAAGGATTTATTCATGGTTCCCCATTGAAGATGAACTTTATTCCCCAGCAGTGTTATCACAACCTTCTTCTGGAATATCGACATGACAACAAGCGACTGACTCTTTATTTGAGCAATTTGATTATTTCTGATTTCTCTATGACAAATGGCGGTCTCTTCATGAGCAGTTTGTCCATCCTCGATGAAATTATTGATTCTCACCTCCAGCAATATCTTCATGATATTTTATGGGTATCTTTGAGAAAACAGCAAGTGGCAGTCTCTTCATGGACAACTTGTATGTTATCAACACTTTTAAAAACAGCAAGCGGCAGTCTCTTCATGGACAACTTGTATGTTATCAACACTTTTTGAAAACGGTAAGTGGCGGTCTCTTCATGAGCAGCTTGTACGGAAAATGGCAAGTGGCAGCTTCTTCATGAGCAGCTTGTACGTTAGTATTTTTGGAAGACAGCAAGTGGCAGCTTCTTTATGAGCAGCTTGTGGGTTTTTGGCAACAAGTGGCAGCTTCTTCATGAGCAGCTTGTGTGCTTTGATATTCTTTGAAGACAGCAAGTGGCAGCTTCTTTATGAGCAGCTTGTGGGTTTTTGGCAGCAAGTGGCAGCTTCTTTATGAGCAGCTTGTGGGTTTTTGGCAACAAGTGGCGGACTCTTCATGAGCAGCTTGTGTGCTTTAATATTCTTTGAAGACAGCAAGTGGCGGTCTCTTCATGAGCAGCTTGTATGTTATTGACACCTTTGAAAGGAAGCAAGTGGCGGCCTCTTTATTTGAGTAGCTTGTGTATCCCCAACAATAATGTTTACTCAGCAAATGGCATCCCTTCGGAAAAGTCCCGTGGGGAAGTTTGTTATTTTATCCTTTTCAAGTGATATCTTGGTTAAAGAAGAAATGTGTTACCGTTCTTGGTAAAATTCAGAAATCAGAGATGTTTATCTCCAGCCACAGTGCTGATGTCAATCATTTTGTTTTCCAGCCACAGTGCTGATGTCAATCATTTTGTTTTCCAGCCACAGTGCTGATGTAAATCATTTCTTTTTCCAGTCTTCGTACTGATGTAAATCATTTCTTTTTCCAGTCTTCGTACTGATGTAAATCATTTCTTTTCCAGTCTCAACACTGATGTAAATCATTCAAGAGTCTCTCATTTGAAGTCTATGACTCTGTTTCCCCAATGGAGTTACAACCTCTTCCTCTGTGGGATTACTGTGTAATGTGCTTGGTTTCTCCAGCATAGTCTGTCTCATATGGCGTCATTCCCCATAAAATTCAGAGCATTACATTCATATCATATCATGAACATAATCGCGGTATCTTGAGGCCAAAAATTGTGTATTCTATATTTAAGTCCCTTCAATCTCGTCGAAATGAAGATCCCAATCTTCATATCTCCGGGTAGAAGAAACTTAAATAGGGGCAGCTGTTGTACCCCAATTTTTGACCTAAGATCCCACTTGCATTTTTGCATTTTTTATACAAAAGTCAAGGTCACTAAATACAGTCGGTTTTAACCTCTCACCTTCGAGCTTTGACTATGTGAAGATTGTCAAGTGTGTTGAACATTTTTAGCCTACGTATCACTAATTTCTAATCGCATACCAAGGTGTATGTTCATGTCTTCTTTTGTTTCATGTGCAGAGACAGGTCTGAATCAAGAGCATCAGGTGTCGCGCCTCAATTAAGGTTTTGAGTCTCCCAAGTCAGAAGTACGGTTGATTGTGGATTCTCGAAGACTGATTCATCAAGGCACACCGTTGCACCCTTAATTTCGCCTCTAATTTTTTCAGTCACACATTCATACCATATTTTGTTATTTGGTCACAATCATTAGTAAATATCTTCATTCATCATATTTTGCATCATTAGTCGTATTTAAGTTGACCAGGAAAGTCAGTTTAAATCAAAGTTTGCATCGTCTTTTAGTTAAAAAATACCTGACATTTCACTTCATGCATTTTTATCTCTTTACTCGTTTCTTGCATTGCTCCAAGTTGTTTATATGTCGATAATAAAAATATTTTGGTTTTATAGACAAACTGTTAAAAGCGATTCAACAATGTATGAAAAATTAGCGAGAAAAATATTTCAAGTTTTCACCTTTTACCGATCATTTTATGAATCTGCATCTCGCATAGATTATGACGGTATGCTCGTTTTATTTTTTCGATACAGTTTGACGTCTCGTTTTTAACCGTAAAACGTCTGTTTAGCCTGGTATTTTCATTATCATTTTATTCCTATTTTTACTTTTTTGAATATTTTTTCTTTAATCTTTGTGACATGTAGTTTATTTTAATATGTTCATTTTATTTTTTAGGATAGATTTTTGTCCATTTTTTAATCATTTTCGAGTCTCTTTTTTATTTAGAAAAATTAAAAAAAAATATTTTAAATTGCATTAATTTGTATACTTTCAGATTTTTACTTCTTTTTATTTTTAGAGGGCCTTTTGGTCATAAAAAATTATTTGTTAAACTGTGCTTTATTTTGATTGGTTGTTAGAGAGAGTAATGGATCGATCCAGAAAAAATAGCGAATGAATTGCAAAACAGAAGTGAAATTTTCCTCTTAATCTGTCTATATAAACACTTCTTTCTTTTCTTTGTAAAAGGAGAGAACACAATAATAAACTCTCTCTTTCTCTCAAAAAACCACTTTCTCGACCCCTTTCTCCCTCTCTATGCAAGCAATCTCAGCATACCAAACCTCCAAAACCCCATCAAATATTCCTTCACAAAATCTCTTCCAGAGACACCCTCTCCATTCGTTAAACAACACCACCACCATTACTCTTCTCCTGCTGTCAATTCAACCAAATCCCATCAAACACCAAAGACATAATCTCATGGAACTCCATTATCAGAGCCTCAATCCTCTGTGGTGATTTCATCACTGCAGTTAAGCTGTTCGATGAGATGCCGCACAGAAACTCAATCTCATGGACAACATTGATCCACGGCTTTTTATCCGTCGGAAGAGTTTTTGATGCTGAAACATTCTTCCGTGCAATGTCAAGTGTTGACAAAGACGTTGCCACATGGAATGTTATGGTTAATGGTTATTGTAATAATGGTAGAGTTAATGATGCTCTTCGGTTGTTCAGTCAAATGCCTCACCGAGGATGGATACTTTTATGCGGTGAAAGAGGTGTCTTTGTTGGATGATGGTAACCAGAGAAGACAAAGCATTTTCCAACTTCAGCAGGAAATATCTCTTTTGAGTAGGTTTCAACATGAGAACATAGTTCGATATTATGGCTCGGACAAGAATGAAAGCACACTGTATATATTCCTTGAGCTTGTGTCAAAAGGGTCATTAGCCAGTCTTTATCAAAGTTATCACCTAAATGATTCTCAAGTTTCTGCACACACAAGACAGATTTTAAATGGCTTGAAGTATCTTCATGAAAATGATGTGGTCCACAGGGATATCAAGTGTTCTAATATACTGGTTGATGTAAATGGTTCAGTCAAGCTTGCCGATTTTGGGTTAGCAAAGGCAACAAAATTAAATGATGCTACTTGAAACCACCCTCTACTCTCTGCTAGCATCTCTCCCTCACCACTGTTAACACTCTTTCCATATAAACCTCTCTGACCGCATCCATTTCCGACTTCTCCCTCTATTCCGCAAGCTTAATCGAACATCCCATTCATTTACTCGCAATCCATCTTCAGAACCCACTCTCACCATGATTCAATTCACCTCACAACAACCCAACGTCACTGATTTCTCTCCACAGTCTATTTCGGAGTTCAAACACGGTTCACTGCCGATTCTGCAGCCAGTACTTCCGCCGTTCCCAGCTGCTTGAGGACCATACCCACGAATCCCGTTAGCTCCTTGCCTTCTCGAATTTTCATCTCTCATTCAACCACCTTCCTCGTCGGCACATCTCCCCTCCGTTTGTGCACTACAGCCCCCTCGCTGGCACGTACTCCCTCCATTTGCGTCCTACAGCTCTCGCCTCCGGCGATACTCCCTCTGTTGGTGTCCTACAGCTCCGGCCTCCTTCAACCTCTTCAATTCTCCAATTCTTGAGGTAAGGTTTTATATCCTCTTCTCCTACAAGTTGTTATGTTGAATATTGATCAAGAATCGTTGAATTGAAGTACACATTTAGTTGTTCATATGGTGTAATATGTTGTTTTTGATTCAAGATTAGTATTACTAATTATTAGGATTTGGTATATTTACATAGAGATTTAGTATGTAGAACTTATAATATAATTTGAACTTTAGGTGTTTGTGATAATGCATAGGTGAATTGGCATGGATTTCAACACTAGATCCTGAACTATAACATTAACACCTTAGGTTTTTATTAAAATTCTCCTTAGAATTAACATAGGCTAGAATCTTGTAAATTGACATGCTAATCGTGCTTTAAATTTGTTGTTTCTTGAAATGAAGATGTTAAGGTTTGGTATAGGTTGATATTTGATGTTAATTTGGTAGAGATTGCAGCATTCTAATGCTTGTTGTTTGATACTCGACGTTGACACGTTACTTGAATTTTGCCTTTGTGCATAAAAGTGTGATGTAATTCAGTTTGTGTTCTTTAGTGTGCATTAATATATTAACACTCTTGTGTTTGAGTTGGTTTTGTTGTTAGTTTGATTCAGATAGGTGCACTAACACAACACTAAACCAATGACACTAGCTTGTATTTGCAATTTTCAACTCATGTGCATTCATACAATTTCATTTCATTTCTTTATTTTGTGATTTCTAACAAAGTTTTTAATTGTTGCGATTTCATTTATTTTAATTTTTATACCGCTTATGCTACTAACGAGTTTGCTTATTGTGAAGGTTTTCGAAAATCGTTTCAAGTATCCATTCTCACATAGCGCATCAATAACTCTTACACTTCTCCCTTTTACCTTTTTATTTTATTTTACTATTCTGATTTAATATTTGGTACTGTAAATATATACTTATACATAATATTTTGACTGTATATTTTACTTGTAAATAAATTCAGGTTTTGAAAATATTATTTTCATCGCATTGTGATTTTATTTTTAATTCCAACTAACTTCTGAAAATTATGCGAACGCACATAAGTTTCCCGTGCTGTTAGATTTCGTCGGTATATCTCTTGTGATGCAGGGATTCTTATCTGACACCATGAGCTTTATCCACCGCCTTTGCGCTTTATCTGATGCTTGGAGTATTATCTCACATTAGATTTTTTTGATGATGCTGTCGGCTTGTGAATTATTTTCACCTAAGGTTTGATATACTCTTAGCTTATTTATCCGTCTGTGGTTTTAACTCCAAGGAAAAGATTTAAACTTTGTTGACTTCACGTCATCAAATACGTCTTCTACAATCGTGCGAATAACCTCATTCATTTTTTTGCTTGTTTACTATTTTTCCAAACTTAAGATAATTTTCCCAAAAGACTCCATTTTCAAACTCACACCTTTTTAAGTCAAAACTTCGACACTAGGTCGTCGTATCTTCAAAAATCTCGTCCATACCCATCTTTTAGCCGAACGAACCATTTTAATCAAACAAACAATTTTAACCAAAAACAGATATTTCAAAAGGTTCCTGCGGAGTACCGCAGATGCATTGGGTGCTAATACCTTCCCATTGTATAACCAACCCCCGAACTCTCGATCTCTTTCAAAAAACGCATTGTATTTCTATTACTTTTAAGTATTATTTTACATTGCATATTTTAGGGTTTTATTTCGCTCTTTTCCCTTTTCCCTTGGAAATAATAAAGCGCGATGGCGACTCTTGCTTCTGTGAGTCAAGTTAATTAATAGCTTGATCTCCGATTTTCACCGCTACACTTCTTTCTAATCATTGAATTGATTGGGTAACCTTCATTATTGAGCGGGTGCTTTTCTGCAAGTAGAATTCAAAAAGAACTTTGTTTTTCTCTTCTTTTATGCAGTTGTTTATGGAGATTAATGGTATTGTATCTAAGGAAGATGATTTTTTTGAGGCTAGGGAGAGGGCTTTCCCATGGAGGCGAGTAGCCCTTTTATGTTTTTTGAGCGTATTTAGGGAACTAGCTCACGTGAGGTGAGTGATCCTAATGGTGGTCGGCGCTGATAGATTGCTAGCGGGTGGTTAGAGTGGTGTTTTATGTGGTTACTCAGAGAGGAGTGCTCTTTGAGTAGAATTAGGTGGTAATAAGTGGTTGTCACTTGAATCAATGAGGATCCTCTATCCCTCTTAGGGATAGTTCATTTATAGGAGTTCTCTAGGGATAGGGTTTACGGTTCCCTAGACATGGTCTCATATAGTCATCAATCCCTTAGCTGGAGTATCGACAACCATTTTCCCATTCATAGAAGATAATATAAGACCCAACCTTTTAGCACAATCAGCATCAATAAAGTAATGTGTAGCACCCGTATCAAATAATAGTAATTAAAAGAGTACTATTAATGAAACATATACCTCTAATCAAGAGGTCTCAACTGGATGTCTGAGTCTCAGATAAAGTAAACACATTTCCACAGGATCGAGCTTGCTTCGGTCTCTGGCACTGACCACCGATATGTCCTTCTTCACCATAGTTGAAACATATTACCTCTTCAATAACACAAAAAACCAGCAGGAGCACCTCTCCCACTTGGCCTCTTACCATCAGCAACTTTCTATTTTCCTTTGTCAGTCGGAGCATTGTAAGGCTTCCCACGATATTGTTGTTGCTTTCCTCTCTTCTCAGTGACAATCTTGTAGTGAGCCTTACTATCTTCTTCATAAATCTTGCAACTGCTCACCAAATCTGAAAACTTATGGATCCACTGGTACCCGATTACTTTCTTGATCTCTGAATGTAAGCCAATTTCAAACTTGACGCACTTAGAAAATCCAGCTGCCTCCTCAGTGTAGTGAGGATAAAAGTTCCCCAATTCCATGAACTTGGCAGCATACTCAGTCATCGATAAATCTCCTTGTTTGAGCTCTAGATATTCAATCTCCTTTTTCCCGCGGACATCCTCTGGGTAATACTTCACTAGGAATTCCCTACGAAACACAACCCAAGTAATAGCCTCACATGTGCCCCCAGTCTCTGGCAAGTAGCAACCCACCAGTCATCAGCCTCTCTTGCCAGCATATGCGTACCAAAACGCACTTTTTGTGCATCAGAATAGTCCATGACTTGAAATATCCTTTCAATATCCTTGAGCCACTCATGTTCTCTTTCAGGATCATGCTTCCCTTTGAACGTGGGTGGATGGTTCTTCTGGAAAGTTTCTAAAGCACGAGTCTCATCGTTCCCACTAGTATTAGGCCGATTTTGCATTGCCTGAGAAAAATCCTGCAACGCATTAGCAAGTGCACCATTGCCTCTTCCAGCCATTGCTCTGCTTCACATCACAACATAAAACAATAGTTAGGTAGAAAAACATCGACAGTATTCCACTGTCACACTACACTATCGGCTCAACAACCTTGCCGGATGGACCGACCTGCTCTGATACCAATTGTAACACCCTATTTCCTCAAATGATAATTTAATTATAAAATCAGAGTAAATTAATTTCTAACATACAACATCAAAATAGGATGTCACGTTCTTCAATACATCGTACATGCTCATAAACAGGATACGCAACACAAAATCACATACTTCAAAGTCTTAAACTTTATCTCATTTATTCGCAGCGGAAAACATCAATAATAATGATAGTTTCAATTCTCCAACATAAGTTATGATCATCATATTTCAGAAATCAACATAATCATAATGTAAATTCAAAACAACGGAGTTATACAAAATTTACTCCCAACATAGTAAAACAAACGCAAAGCCCCCAAGTGTTACATATCATACCAGACATTGAATCAATCTACGCAAATTAAGGTGACTCTTCAGCTAACCTCGACCTCGAGCTACTTCAGATCATCTTTATGGTACCCACGTAGAGGCAACATTCAAACAGAAAAGGTGAGATATCATAACAATATAAGAGGAAGCATAATAATGAAAAGATAGTAATTCAAGTATACATCATTATACATATTTATCTCACACCTTTTATCATTCATCATACTACGAAACACATCAAATATAATTATGTGCACCAGACAACACAACATCCATCAACGGAATTAGAAATCCATTCAATAATCAAACCATCAATTACTAATAATATTGTAATGCAATGAGGATGATACAGACTCTATGCTTGTGGTACCAATAGGGAAATACCCTCAACTTAATAATTCCAACTTGGGGAAACAACACCAATACAGGCCATCTTTCTCCAATACAAGCCATCTTTTGCCAATACAGGCCATCTTTCAAGAATGCATGCGACACTGACATGCAACAACTTAATTTACATTGATTAATCATACTTATTGTCGTACCCCAAATTTTCCCTATCTCTTTTATTTTTGTCTGACTTTGAACTTTGCATTCCATTTGCATAATTTTATTATTCAGTCATTTGCATATCCCGCATATCATGGGATAGGGCACTTTGGTTTAAAGTTTTAGGGTTGTGCCCTCTTTATGTCTAATATTATTTTGAGGTTTTCTTATC